TATGAGTTAATCTGAGAGACAGTGGAGCACAAAGGCTCCAGAGAAGAAGCCGAGTTAGTGACATCCAGAATGGCCGAGGTAGCAAGATGCAGTCATAGAATACGAGAGAGAGAGAGAGAGAGAGAGAAGGAGAGAAGGTGCCTGGTGTATTATAGGGGGTCCTCCGGCAGACTAGGCCTAAGTCAGCCTAACTAGGGGCTGGTACAGGGCAAGCCTGAGCCAGCCCTAACTATAAGCTTTATCAAAGAGGAAAGTCTTAAGTCTAGTCTTAAATGTGGAGATGGTGTCTGCCTCCTGGACCGTAACAGGAAGATAATTCCACAAGAGAGGAGCCTGATAGCTGAAGGCTCTGGCTCCTGATCTACTTTTGGAGACTTTAGGGACCACGAGTAACCCTGCGTTCTCAGAGCGCAGTGTTCTGGTGGGATAATATGGCACTATGAGCTCTCTAAGATATGACGGAGCTTGACCATTTAGAGCTTTATAAGTTAACAGTAGGATTTTAAATTCAATTCTGGATTTTACAGGGAGCCAGTGCAGAGAAGCTAAAACAGGAGAAATATGATCTCGTTTCTTAGTTCCTGTTAGTACACGTGCTGCTGCATTCTGAATTAGCTGGAGAGTTTTTAAGGACTTACTAGAGCTACCTGATAATAGAGAGTTACAGTAATCCAGCCTTGAGGTAACAAAAGCGTGGACCAATTTTTCTGCATCTTTTCGGGTCAGGATAGGCCTAATTTTCGCAATATTACGCAGATGAAAAAATGCAGTCCGTGAGGTTTGCTTTAAATGAGAATTAAAAGACAAATCTTGATCAAATATTACTCCGAGGTTTCTTACGGTAGTGCTAGAGGCCAGAGCAATGCCATCTAGAGAAACTATGTCATCAGATAAAGAGTCTCTGAGTTGTTTGGGGCCAAGAACAATAACTTCAGTTTTGTCTGAATTTAACATCAGGAAATTGGTGCTCATCCAATTTTTTATGTCTTTAAGGCAGTTATGGAGTTTAGTTAATTGATTACTTTCTTCTGGCTTCATCGATAAATACAACTGTGTATCATCCGCATAACAATGGAAATTTATAGAGTGATTTCTAATGATGTTACCTAAAGGAAGCATATATAGAGTAAATAGGATTGGTCCGAGCACAGAACCTTGCGGAACTCCAAAACAAACTTTGGTACGTAAGGATGATTCATTACGAACGTCAACAAATTGAAAACGATCAGATAAATAAGATTTAAACCAGCTTAGTGCTGAACCTTTTAGGCCAATTAAGTGATCCAGTCTCTGCAGTAGAATTTGATGGTCAATTGTGTCAAACGCCGCACTAAGATCTAATAAAACAAGAACAGAGACGAGTCCTTTGTCTGAAGCAATCAGAAGGTCATTTGTAATTTTAACTAGAGCTGTCTCAGTGCTATGATGCACTCTAAATCCTGACTGAAATTCCTCAAATAAATTATTATCCTGGAGAAAATCACACAGCTGGTCTGCGACTACTTTCTCAAGGATCTTTGACATAAAGGGAAGATTAGATATTGGTCTATAGTTGGCTAACACCTCTGGATCCAGGGTGGGCTTTTTTAGGAGAGGTTTAATTACAGCTACCTTAAAAGACTGTGGTACATAGCCTGTTAATAGGGATATATTGATCATATCTAATATATGAGTGTTAACTAAAGGAAAGACCTCCTTAAGTAGCCTAGTTGGGATGGGGTCTAAGAGACACGTTGATGATTTAGATGAAGAAATCACTGCGGTCAATTCTTGAAGAGAAATTGGGGAGAAGCAATCTAAATATATATTAGATTCTACAGCTGTGTTTGAGGTTAGATAGGTAGGCCTACCATCTGAGGGCAGGAGGTCATGAATTTTGCCTCTAATAGTTAGAATTTTGTCATTAAAAAAGCTCATAAAATCATTACTGCTAAGGGCTAAAGGAATACAAGGCTCAATAGAGCTTTGACTCTCAGTCAGCCTGGCTACAGTGCTGAAAAGAAACCTGGGGTTGTTCTTGTTTTCTTCTATTAATGCTGAGTAATAGTTTGCTCTGGCATTGCGGAGGCCCCTCTTATAAGTTTTGAGACTGTCTGTCCAGATTAAACGAGATTCTTCCAGTTTGGTTAATCGCCAATTCCTTTCAAATTTTCGCGATATTTGTTTTAACCTACGGGTTTGAGAGTTATACCAAGGAGCAAACTTTCTTTGCTTTGTTAACTTCTTTTTAAGAGGAGCTACAGAGTCGAGCGTTGTTCGCAGCGAGCCTACGGCGCTATCAACAAAATGATCAATTTGGGAGAGGTTAAAGTCGGCACGGGAAACCTCTGTTACTGAAGGTATTGGTATTGAATTTAACGACGAAGTAATCTTTTCCTTAAATTTTGTGACAGCACTATCTGATAAACATCTAGTATAGTAACTGTTGCTGAGTGGCGTGTAATCGAGTAAAAAGAAATCAAAAGTAATCAGATAATGATCTGATAGCAAGGGATTCTGTGGAAAGACTTTTAGGTTATCAATTTCAATTCCATACGTCAGAACTAGATCGAGGGTATGGTTAAAACAGTGAGTGGGTTCATGTACACCCTGACTGAAGCCAATGGAGTCTATTAATGAGATAAACGCGGTAGCCAGGGAGTCATTATCAACGTCGACATGAATGTTAAAATCGCCTACAATAATAACTTTATCTGATTTAAGAACTAAACTGGATAAAAACTCTGAGAATTCAGATACAAATTCAGAATACGGGCCAGGAGCACGGTACACTATAACAAATAAAAGTGGCTGCGAGGTTTTCCAGGTCGGATGTAAAACACTAAGAACGAGGCTTTCAAATGAATTATAATCTAGTTTAGGTTTAGGGCTGATTAACAGACTAGAGTTAAAAATGGCTGCAACTCCCCCTCCTCGGCCGCTGCCTCGAGGAATGTGGGTATTATTATGACTGGGAGGAGTGGACTCATTTAGACTAACATATTCATCTTGACACAGCCAGGTTTCAGTGAGACTGAGTAAATCAATATGATTATCTGATATTAATTCGTTTACTAACACTGCTTTAGACGATATAGACCTGATATTTAACAGTCCGCATTTAATTCTCCTGTTCTGTCTTTCTGTCACAGAAGAGGTTTTAATTTTTATGAGGTTGTTATGCACAACTCCTCTTTGTTTAATTTTAGATTTAAATCATTTAGGGGGTCGGGGGACAGACACCGTTTGTATAAAACTATGAAAATTATGGCTGGGTAACTGAACTAGAAGCTCAGAGAAGCGTATAGGACTGCGACTCTGAGTCCTGATCTCAACTCTGGGTTGTCAGGGATTTAAATTACTAATAAAATTTGCCAGGTTCCTAGAAATGAGGTTCCATCCAAAGTGGGATGAATGCCGTCTCTCCTAATAAGACCAGGTTTTCCCCAGAAAGTTTGCCAATTATTAACGAAACCCACATCATTTACTGGACACCACCTGGACAGCCAGCGATTAAATGATGACATGCGGCTAAACATGTCATCAGTGGTCAGATTTGGGAGGGGTCCAGAGAAAACTACCGAGTCCGACATAGTTTTTGCATATTCACACACCTAGGCAATATTAATTTTAGTGACCTCTGATCGGCGTAACCGGGTATCATTGCCGCCGACGTGAATAACAATCTTACTGAATCTACGTTTAGTTTTAGCCAGCAGTTTTAAATTTGATTCAATGTCGCCCGCTCTGGCCCCAGGGATACATTTTACTATGGTCGCTGGTGTTGCTAACTTCACGTTTCTCAGAATAGAGCTGCCAATAACCAGAGGGCATAACTGAACATTGGCACACCGAGCAAGAAAGAGCAGAGGGAGAAGCCATCGCTAACTGTAAAGCTAATGTAGCTACCAAGGCTAGTAACGTGCAAACAACAGCTAAGAGATTAGCAGGGAAGTCATAAAAAGGAGGAGAGCTATAAGTGCTTAAACAGAACCAGTGTGGGTTAAGACTTGGAGTAGATGTTAAAGCAACGTTAAAGCAACTGAAGTGAGAAAGCAGGCTAGTAGAATTCACCAGAGCAGTACAGAGACGCTGTCACAGAAACACCAGAAATGACACAACTCGCTTACCGCAATACGTCAGCACATCGGCAAAGGAAACCATCAGAAAACCAGATTGGTGTGATGTGAATCGGCTGTGTAAAACCCACTCCATGCCTTCTCTCCTCCCTCTTTCCGACTTGCGCAGGTAGAAGGGACGGAGGTGGGAAAGAGGAGTAGCTGCACCAGGGCACACGGTGTGCCAAACTTGTAAAATCCGCCTGGCCACACCCAGTTGGCGAAGCGCAGGTGTGCTGCGCCTCGCCCAGTATGTGAAACTAGAGGCCATTGTGTTCACAAGGATGGGACGAACGTACATCCATACGTGAGGGCAGGAAACCCAAAAACATAATGCCTCCAGCCACTGCTATCGCTGGCACTAAGCTATTTAAAAAACAAAAAAATTGTTTGCTAACAAGTTCACCATATCAGCTCAAAGTGATATGCAAATATTTTGTTAATAACTTATTCCTGCTGGACAAAACTCAAAAAACAGTAAAACGTTTTCAGCATCAAAAGTAGCAGTAGTTTTGCTTACTACCACAAAGTCATCATTACAGCAGTCAGTTTCCTTTGACTGCTGTAATGAGTTAAAAAGATCTCACAGGCATTTCTAAGTATTTAATTGGCTGTTTGGTTCAAGTCAGAAAAAAAGAACAATTGAAGCAGAAAGCCACTGATGGAAACAGATAGCAAATTCCTGACAACAGTAACAGGCTGTTGTTTCTCCTCTTGTGGTCCATAATAGAGAGTTCCACTGAGGTAACTTTAGAATGCTGTTTTTAATTTGCTGCAGTAATTTTTTTTAAATGTTTCTTCCTTTGATTGAACACTGATGTGTTTAAAAAGACACAAATAAATAAATGTTGTCCAACCTGAAGTAGCAAATACTTTCATCATCCTCTTTACACTGAAGAGACATGCAGTTTAAAAAGTGTTTATTTTCACCAATAAAAACACACAATATCAAACGTTTTTATTCTCACAAAATTGTCTTTAGTTTTTCAAAATCATTTAAAAAAATCCTCAGTTCTTTCAAAAACACATCCCTTCTCACTTCTTCAAACTCTAAAGAACAGATTAAAAGTATTTTGGAACATCTTCCTGAAATCCAACTGCAGAGACTAATTTAACTTGAGGCAAGTTAAAGTCAGAGATTTATACACTCCACCAGTTTGCAGGCTCCTCATGGCAGCTTTATTAACAGTTGGACAGGGGACAAGTGCACAGGACTTACAACACCAGCCAGCCTCTCTGCCATGATGCATCTGTGTCCTGCAAAAATCCTGCTAGAATATTTGTGCCATTTTTTTTGTCTGTTTTGTCAGCTGGTGTAATCTCCAGCATGTAGAAAATAGTTTGCACCTGTCAGACAGACACCTGACAACTAATGACTGCATTGATAAATATCAGAAGTGCACAGGTGTTACAGGGGAAAAAGGACACTCTAAGTTTGATCACACAACACAATAGGCACAGATGTTCCAAGTTTTGATGGAGCCTGCAGTTGGCCTGCTGACTGCAGGAATGTTCACCAGAACTTTTGCCCCTAATCTTTATGCTCATTTCACTACTATAAGACAGCTCCAGTGTCATTTCCCTGAATTTGGCAGAACATCAAACCAGCCTCACAATCACACAAGTCAGTTACAATGACTAACTGCTGTCAGATCAAGACCCAGGTGAGGATGATGAGCATGCAGATGAGCTTTCCTGAAATGGTTTCTGAGAGTTTGAGCTAAATTCATCTGTTGTGTTAACCATTTGTTGCTTCAGCTGTTCAGGTGAATGCTCTCACACTATCTTACAGGTAAAGATGCTGAATGTGAAGGTCCTTAGCTTGTGTGTCTTAGTAAAGCTGCTTGGATGTACTGCCAAATTCAGGGTAACTGCATTGGAGATGGCATATGGTAGTAGATTGATCATCCAAACACCCTTACACTCACAGACCACATGTAACCACACTAGCTCAAGACCTCCATATGTCTTCACCTGCAAGATTATCTGAGAGCAGCCACCCAAACAGCTGAAGCAACAATTTGTTTGCACAACTGAAGAATGTCTGCACAAACCATCAAAAACCATCTCAGGGAAGCCCATCTGCATGCTCATCATCCTCACCAGGGTCTTGACCTGACAGCAGTTTGATATTGTAACTAACCTGTGCAATTGCATGGCTGGTTGGATGGATGTACTGCCACATTTAGGGAAACATCATTGGAGACAACTTATGGCAGTGAAATGAACATTCACTTCGCAGGCAACAGCTCTGGTGGACATTCCTGCAGTCAGCGTGCCAATGGCACACTCCATCAAAACTTGTGGCATCTGTGGCATCATGTTGTGTGATCAAACTGTACATTTTTGAGCGTCCTTTTATTGTGACCATCCTGAGGCACACCTGTGTACTAATGATGCTGTTTAATCAGTATCTTGATATGACACAACTGTCAGGTGGATTGATTATTTTAGAAAAGGAAAAGTGCTCACTTACATGGATTTTAACAAATTTATGAACAAAATTTGAGAGAAATATATCCACTGAGCGCATGAAAAAGTCTTTGATCTTTAACTTAAACCTGTGAAAAAATGGGAACAAAAGGAAAACTGTTACTTTTAATGTTTTGCTCAGTATATTGAAACAGCTTATGGGATAGGGGTGGTGTCTGTAGGACACAGTGTACATGAGGCTGTTGTGTGCTTCTCTAACAAATGTGTTTCCTGTACTTTTACATCATTTTTGGACATAAAAGCATTTAAAGAAATGACTGGAAAATGTTTTGGAGCTCAGCAAAGGTCTCTCTGACCCTCGGTAAAGGCAAAAGTATTTGTCTGTCATTTAAAAGGTTTTTGGGCACAGACATCTGTTATCGTGTCCTCACAAGAGAGTTATTTGGCCCTGTACTGAATGCAGCATCATCACTCAAAAGAAAGACATTAAGTGAAAAGACTATATGAACACTATGGTTTTAAGTAGGATTCGTCATACTCTTGATTAAATACAATTTGGTTTCTGTATTGGCACTTTAGCTGACAGAGTCAAACACTGACTTGGGGCATGAGATCCAACTGACCCAGAGCAAACTTTGGTCATTTGAGTTCAATTTAAATGAAAGAGCAAACATTTGTTCTTCAGTCACACTTTCAGTATTACTCATTTTTACAGGTGTGACAGGACAAACCAGCTGTCTTCTATTTAATGCATCCTTCAAGTTAAGACTTTTATCAGTATTGAGGACATGTTCATTTTTTTAATTTTTCTGAAATGTGCTGAGTTCGTGTTTTCAAAATGTTTGCTTGTCAACAGTCTGACAAACAGCTGACATGTTTAACATCACTGTTGATCAGAAATGTTCACTTGTAGCCTAATACATAGTAGGGCTGCACAATATTATTGAAGTTTTCCTTCATCGCGATTATCAACAAACCCGATAAAGGTATTGTAATAAACAGTAGATTTACACATGCCATATATTCACATGCTGTATGTTGTGTTGAAACAGTGGCATTGGGTGACTTTACTAGTTTTGAAAGTATTTCTCATGTCACTTGTGTTTTGGATGTTATCATCATACTGTCCATGATGTGTCAGTGCATTTGTTCTTTTGCTCTGCACAAATCTGACAACTGTCCACCTGCTCATCTGTTGTCATCCCCGGTTCTCTGAGGCTCGGTGCACCGTGGTTTCCTTGTAATGACAGCGAAGCAGCACAGAGGTTCCCGGGGACCGCCGCTAGATAATAACCGTGTATTTTAAGGTTCATAAAATACACCCAAATTCACGGATATGTAGGATATTACTACAGACATTCCTGTTATCCTATGTCTGCTGTGACAGCAAATCCCGTAATCACCCATGTCAGTGACAATGTTATTTTACCGTCCAGGGGATGCTAGTTTTTCCCTGATAATGCTACATTATGATAATGTGATTGTGCTACTTATCAATATTGTACTGACTCATATTGATGATGACCCAATGATGTTTTACATTCCAGGGAGCACACGCTGTTGAAAAAAAGATTTTCAGTGGCGGCCACCATTTTCATACTGTATAAATCTTACATCTCGTGCAAGACCAATTCTGTTGTAGTTTACGGTTTTGTTCAACGTCTCAGTAAGTGAAAAGAAAACATAAAAACTCATGTTATACGCCTTATACTGGGTAGATGATTTTGGTGCTCTTAGCTCATTATGTGTCATTTGTATAATGTTTTGCTCATAGACTGTATATACAGATACATATACAGTCTGTGTTTATTTACATAAAGTTATTATATTTGGGATTTTATTCAACTTCAACATCAAACTCCAATTTAACACTACAGTTTGTATAAAAACACTAATTTTATTGGGAACCCATTCACAACATTGAAATCTATCAATATCACTGCATTTTATTTTTTTTAATTCAGTGTGCACTGACTATTCATTGTCTGGGATTGATATTAGCCGCTCCAACCTAAAGCAGAAAGACATATTTCAAATCTGTTTATTTGTTGTGAGTCATATCGTCATTGCAATATTCAACGATGTAATTGCATATTGCATGTTTTCCTGATATAGTGCAGCCCTACTACATAGTGTGTTTGCTGTCTTGTAGTGTTGTCTGAATGTTTAGTGAGAATTATAATGTATTACACCCTACGTAGTGGACTCCATTGATCTAACACTGCATGTTTTGCTCTACAGAATTTCCTGTACTAAGCAGTGAATAAATGAATGACAGTCCGTCTGACATGCTGCTCATGTCATGTCACTCTGAACCACACAACAATGGCCGCTTTAAGGACTGTCCAGTAGATTTAATTTAATGCCCTCAGGGAGGTGCTACTATGCACCCCTGAGGAAGACAAATCGCTACTCAAACTCTTTTATCCCTTCAGTTATCAGGCTGATGAATGCCAGTTTTAATGAGTAGGTTTGTGCTTTGTTATTTTATTTATTTACTCTCTATCCCATTTATTCATTCTTTTTTACTGATCGAATACTTATGTACGCATATTTGCACATGTACAAGGTATCGCTGCTGGGAAACCATTAGTTCAACTGATCCACTGACAACTGAGAGTTGAGTGATAAAAGTTGTATGTCTAATGAATGACTGTTGTATTTGTTTGTGCTTTTATTTATTGAACTGGGAGCTGTAAACTGAATTGCCCACATGGGATAAATAAAGTTTTCTGAACTGAACTGAAGTGAACTGTTTTGACTTTTAGAAAGTCAATTCACACACCCCATAAAGTGAGCAGAGTAAGGAGTATTTGTAATGAATCACCTTTTGGTCAAAATAACTAAATCAGCACACATTTGTATTCATGTTTAGGTTTAACACGATTACATCTTTTTCATTACTGTGTTTTTCAAGCTCTATACACACATAAAAAATACTGACAGGTAATAAGAATAACATTGATCATCTTGTTACAATAATGTTCTGCAGGGAAACCATTTGGCCAGTTGACGTGCTACCCCCACCTGAACACCACTGCAGACTTAGAACCACCCCCACCTCCAGGGAGTAACATTAGGGGGTGTACTTAGTCTGCAACTGTGTTTGGGTAGGTGAAGCATGTCGAGTAGCATCCACATGAATACCAGGACCAAAGGTTTACCAGCAGAACATTGGATTGTAACAAGATGATCAATGTTATTCACATCAGCTGTTAGTGGTTGGAATGCTTTGGGTGATCAGTGTATACAGCTGTTATTCTGTCAACAATATATTTTTTATACATTTCTGTTGTGACAGCAGAGCTGTGCAATGGCAACACCAGACAAATAAAACCTGGAACTATAAATAACATTCAGTATTCAATTGAAAATAGTTAATTTACACATCCCAAATTTAAAAAAAAAAAAAAAAAGTTTCCAAGCAAATGCTGAGAAGCCAAAAATTCTCTTGTTGTACACTGTAAATCTAAAGAAAGGTAAGTCTGACTTTTGTTTACACTAGTTCTTGTATAGTTTGAGATCATGGAGATTTTGCTAATGAGACTGAACGTTTCTTGTGATGACACACAGGAGTCTTGTAAAAATAGTATATCATTTGAATAAAGGCTAACTTTATGTTGTGAATCTTTAAGGGAAACCACCACCATGACCCCCCAAGAAAAAAACAAAACCAAACAAAACAAAAAACAAAAACAAAACAAAAAAAACCACTCATAGTTTTGTATGAGTCAATCAGTGACTCCTTCAGTCAAAAAAAAGTGGATATCCAGCAGTCAGATTCATCAAAGTGCCAGATATAGGAGTATCACATTATTTAGGAAGCATCATATGCAGAGTAATTCTCTCTTTGTGTGTTAAGACCTGTCTGCTGTACTGTCTGCTTGTTAACCACACCTTTAAGGACTTAGGTGCAGCTTGTTTTTTTAAGGATTAAAAAATTCCACAGGACCCTGTGTGGAGCTACAGCCTAAGCCAGCTGCTGACTACAGGGTGGAGTCTCTGAAATTCTCCTCCAGTCTGAGTCCTTTCTCAGTGGACACCTGAAAAGAGACAGGAAGACAGGAGGGAGACAAGAGAGAAAGATTAGGACTGTCCACAGTGAAAGTACATGCTGATCATCAGTCCACTGGTTGGAGAAAATGACATATCTCTGTTTATATCTATCCTAAGCAGTTTTAGACTGTCTGATAAATCAGCACTGCAACAACCACAGCAACTGTTGTGGTCTGACTTCCTGACGTCTTCAAGTTTGTTCCAACTCAGTCTCACTGGTTTTAAGGTGAACATACAGCTGTGTCATCAGCAGTGCTACTTTCAAAATGTAATACATTACACACTACTGATTACCTTCATTTGAAAGTAATAAGTTACTTTCTAATAGTACTTTCTGTAAATGTGTTACTGAGTAATGTGTTACTGATTACAGCACTTTTGTGATGCTATCGCCAAAATATTCTCGGAAGTACAACTAGGCATTATATAACCCTAATTCCCCAAAAGTTGAGATGCTGAATAAAATGTTAAAAAAAAAAGAACACAATGATTTACAAATCCTTTTTTTAAAATCTATATTTAATTGAGTACAAAGACAACATATTTAATGCTCAAGCTGATGAACTTTCTTTTGTTTTTTTAAATACACTCATTCTATATTTGAGCATGTTTACCACTGTGTGAAATCACCTTTTTTATAAAGATACTCAGTAAGTCTTTGGGAGCTGAGGACACTAATTGTTGAAGTTTTGAAAATGACATTCTTTCCCATTCTACTGATTTTTAGGGGTTCAAGCCCAAAGGGCTGAAACCCTATTGTTTTAGTCCTGTTTTATAATTAGGGGTTCAAGCCTGAAGAGCTGAAACCCTATTGTTTATATCCTGTTTTATTAGGGGTTCAAGCCTGAAGGGCTGAAACCCTGTTGTTTTTGTCCAGTTTTACTATCATTATTTAGGGATTTTTTTTTTTTTTTGCAGATTCCCGTGAGATGGTACATCACAGAGACATGAAATTTTCACCCACAGATACAAAAAATGGGTGTGGGATAATACAAATCAGACCATAAATCAGAAATTGATTGTCCAATCATTACAAAACTTTAAGGGTATGTAAAATAATAACCATGAACCACGTGTCTTAAATGATCTTGAAAGCTGTCGATAGGGGGCACCCCCTGTTCCAAACAAGTGCAATTACCTTTAGCAAAATTTGGCCATACATCAATGAGGGTTTGTTCGAACATCAACAAACTCAGTGGATGTTTTTAACTAAGCCATTAAAGCATGTCCCCAAAGTGTTCCTGCAGTTGACCAACAGGAGGAGACACAGTTTCCAAAGAAGAGCATGGCCCGGTAGAAATTTGGACATAAATGAGTGAGCATCTGTCTGATTGTCATAAAACCTGTTGTTTATCTTTATGTTTCTCTTTTTGACACAGGTGTCCTAAACTGTCAAAGGTCTTGATCTTACCCAGCTTTCAACTTCCATGATAGCTTGAACCCCGTAATTGTCGCTTGCGGCTAAATTTGTTAGAAGTAGTTGTATGAATAAAATCCTAACACTAAGTCCCTATAATTAGCTGACCTGATCTCAACTATTTAAAAAGACAGAACTTAGGGTGATGTATTTTGAGTTGTTTTTCCTCTTAAAAATACTTCATTTGAGTGTACGGTGACTGATTAAAATATGCTGGTCTTTCTTTAAACAACAACAACGAAAACCCCATTACATCATGTTCACATTGGAAATGGAAGCACCCAGATACATCAGTCGTCATGCAGCCGCCTGTCAGCAGTTGCCTAGCCGTTCATACCAGAAACACATTCCCTCTGAGTGATCGATTCTGTTCCTCTGCTCTGTTCTAGTCTCATGCTCTGTCTTTGTCCACTTGTGTGTATGTGTGTGTGTGTTTCTCTCATCTCATCTCTCTTGCTCGCTGTTTTGATGTGTGGATGCACTGGATGCATATTTGATCATTTATCATAATCAGAACATTTCTATCATATCTAACATATCCTTTATATTATTCCTAACATATCCTTTATATTATTATCATTATTATTATTATTATTATACACACAAATCATGGTAGACTGTTAGTACAGTGTGTAATACGACGTTAACACGTGCAGAAGAATAAAGGCATTTGTTTTGATGGATGAGCCATGTGTTACTTTGCAAAACCTTGTTGGTAAAATCACAACACTAAAATGATGAATCAAACAATGCAAATGTTGGTAGTTTTCATTTATTTAGATGAAATCAAACGCAGTAACGTGGCTCCATCTCTGCTGAATGCATGCACGCCCCCTGCGGCCAGGGGATACACTTCCTGTCGGGGAGAAGTACCTTGGCACGACAACTGAAATGCCGCAAAGTATGTCGATTTTCTGTAGCGCTGCCAACTTCCTTGCGGCTCCCATTTTAACCAGTTGAGTTGGTCAGTCAGGATGCCTGGGCACACAATCTGCTCCACAGTGCGAGCGTTTCACTCGCATTTGCGACTACAAATAGGTGTGTGCAAAGTGTAAAAAATATTTAGGGGCACATGTGCGCATAAAAAAATCAGCCGAAGCAGCCTATATTTTTGTCAATAAAAAAATATGATACTCTAACCGCAAATGTTGGAGGAACTCCAGCCGCCTTCCCTCTTCCCTCTTCCCCGTGTGACACGGTTATGGGCGGTTTTCCAAGCCACTGTCGGCCCAATGAATATAAGTCCCACTGTCTGCAGGGTGGAAATAAGTCAAAGTGTGGAGGAGGCAGGGACGGTTTTTGCTACGGGCAATGTGGGCAAACGCCCAGGGCGCAATCTATGTGAGGGCGCCCTCCAAAAACAAACAAACAAACAAAAAAAAAAACTCGCCACTTTTCTAGACTACCGCTCACTGTCTCCGGGTCCGCCGCAGGTCGCTTCCAGGAGGAAACGATTTACGGCACTCAGACAGCACACGTCATCTTACCTAGCTGCTTACATTTATAGTGACTCTTATAAATAGTCGCTATTCCTCCTCCTCAACCCGACATCCGCAGGGAGTTAAAATAGCAGCAATCATCGGGTAAAAGTTTTGTGAAAGCACTGGACTCACCAACAGTCAGCCATGTCTCAGTCACACAGAGAAAATCCAGTTCTCGGGAAGTCAGGAAATCCTTCAGGATAAACGTGTTGTTCACTAGCGATCTAGCATTTACCTGCTCAATCCTGGCAGGAGCCGGCGGGTCCACGGCGTTAGCTGTCCAGGGAGCCACACACAGGTTGCACAGATTCACCCCGTGCCAGCAGTGACGACGAGAGCAGGGGCCACGGGGCTGGAACACCTCATCCGGGCCGAAGACAGGTACCAGCCAGGTGTCGACAGGGTCCAGCGATTGCTGAGAAATAAAGAGGCAAGGCAAACAGGCCTTCAGCCTTACCAGCCGACCTCTGCGTTTACCCCGGCGGTGGTGGCGCTTACGCTGGAGAAGTGGAGCTGGGGCGCGGCAGAGGTGAGCAGGGATCCCCGATAGGAGCGGGGGCAAAGTTTTCCCGTCTTGTTGTTTCATGCATCCCCAAAACAAACACATGCACGAGCCAGGTAAGAGTCTTTGCGACAATACACGCTAGAGCTCATGGGAAATGTAGGCTTCATTCCGGCAAAGCACTACGGCTTTTGTCCACAGGGTCGCCAAAATCAACTCAAAATGAAAGTTCCTTGTAGGGGCTTTAAGTGTTTAAATCCCACTGACATTTCTGAAGGCTCACAATCATTTAGGTGGGCTCGAAAGTACTGTAAATGAATTTGATGTTCACTCTATGTGCAACAGTACTGAGCTCTGTTACAATACTGCCAGATAAACTGCAGCTCAGCTCATTAACATCTCAAGTCTGAAGAAAATGCCTGTGACACAAAAGTCCTGTTTCCACTGTTGGGACCTCAGCCACGTGTTTTAAACAATAGAGAGGCCTTCACAAAACCAGTGAGTCTGAGAACAAAGGAAACGCACCAGGCCCCCATCGGTCCAGTAACTGTCAAAGGTGTAAATCACTTCCAAAATTCAAAATCTTGCTCCCTATTGGGCGACAGCAGCCAGGCAAAATTCCCTCTGATGTCACCGAGACTTTACGGGCCGTTTCATAGTCGCCGCAAAGGCACGCAGACGCTAACGCATCAAGACGCACTGGCCGCCATTATGTGTGCTTGAGTCCATTTTTTTGATACGCGACACGCGTGTAATACCGTGCCTTGCCAGCGGGAGTGATAATGCAAGAAGCCACATACTTGAAATTAACCACTTTTTGTTATTCACAGAAGAAGCAGGTATGAAATATGGTGGGCGAGGAGGAAAAATTGTGAGAACTTGTATGGGCACACCCCCATTTGTATGACTGTTCTAGTGCCCTGCACTCTAATAAAATAGCAGTAGAAAATGCGTAGAAAGAGATAGTGATGGCAATGGGAAAGGGCATAAAAAAAAGTAAAAAAAGATTGGAAAAACGTGAGGGGCAAATTCGGACGTGCACACAAGAAGTGGAAGAAGGCTTGCAAAAGTGGTGCGGGGCAGATCAATCAATGAATCAATCAATTTTATTTATAAAGCCCAATATCACAAATCACAATCTGCCTCACAGGGCTTTACAGCATACGACATCCCTCTGTCCTTAGGACCCTCACAGTGGATAAGAAAAAACTCCCCCCGAAAAAACCTTTAACAGGGGAAAAAAAAAACGGTAGAAACCTCAGGAAGAGCAACTGAGGAGGGATCCCTCTTCCAGGACGGACAGACGTGCAATAGATGTCGTACAGAACAGATCAGCATAATAAATTAACAGTAATCCGTATGACACAATGAGACAGAAAGAGAGAGAGACAGAGAGAGAGACAGAGACAGACGATAATGACAGTAGTTTACAGCAATATTAATGAAAGTAATAATTATTATTATAATTATAGTTCTGGTTACTGTGGTACAATATGCTGCTCACTGCTGCTCACTGCTGCTCACCCACCTCCACCCTCCTCCACTACACATTGCACCACACACACTTCTCCCTCAGCAGCACCTTCT